AAAAATTTATCAAAATTATTTTAATATATATATTTATTATATATTATTATCAACCAACATTCTAATCAAACAAATATTTTATTATAAAAATCAATTTTATCATTCGGTTCGCTGTTTCTTTTTTGCTGGATTTTGTAATTCGTCTAATTCTTCTCTGAGCCTTCCATTTTCAGCCTTTAAAAGTTCAACTTGTGCTTGTAATTCTTGAATAGCTTGATCTGTCAATAATTTTTCCAACTCCCACTTTTCAATATTAGTATTTTCGTTTTCTTTAAGTTGTTGAATGTATTGGACTGATCGATTGAGAATACTACCTTTATTTTTTTCACAACCAGGCACAATCTTTGCCAATTCACTAATACCAGCATTGATTGTATCACGTCGACGACGTTCAACCTCTTTATGGTTTTCACGACGTTGTCGATTCCATTCATCACTACCTACGGGAGGTCTACTACCACTCGGCGTTGTTTGAGGTGTTGATGAAGCAGAAATTGAATCATCATCTCGTAATGGAGTGTGAAGCAGTGATGGTGATAATTGTTGAGCCTGTTGAATTTTTTGAACGATATGTTGGGGAGTATGTGGAGCTAATTGAATTGGTAAATGTGATTGTTGAATTGCTACAAATTCATTTTTTATTAAAGGAGTACTAGGTGCTGAGGAAGGGTCAACATTGGTGGGAATTTGACTACTACTATTAATTAATTCCATAAATTATATAATACGTATAGATATAATATAATGTATATAGTCGTATGTTAATGTTACCAAAAATAAAATATTAATAATCAATTAATTTTATAATCGCTTTAAAAAAATCTTTATACTTTTGTTGATTCATAATTGATTTAGCTTGTGTTGCAATGGAAGGACTAGGTTGAAGTTCTTCGTTTGTAGAAGCAATTCTTGGTGATTTTGAAGAATTTTCAGTGAAAACACCACCCTAGATAATATTAATAATAAAATGAGATTATCTATTATTTTATAGTTGGAAAATTTAAATATTAAATATAGAAAGAAAAATGACTCAATACCATTTTCAAAAGTA